GTTCGAGGAGGTTCGGGGAGGGGATCGAGGAGGAGGTTTCGGGGAGGGGATCGAGGAACGGGTTCGGGAGGGGGGAGGGGGATTCGCGGGGATCGAGGAGGTTCAGCGGAATCCGAGTTTTTTTATCATTTTTTTCATATTTATTTATTTTTTTTTTTACGTTCTTTCACTCTCTCTCTCTCTCTCTCTCTCTCTCTCTCTCTCAAGAAGAGGATCGAGAGGCACTGCTTCCGAGAGGTTTATTAGTCGTTCCGAGTGTAAGGCGAGCGCGCGTCGTCATAAATCTGTTTCTCTAATTTGTATCTTTTTTTCTTTTTCTTTTTCTTTTTTATCTTTTTTTGTACTTATTTTTAATGATCTAACCCCCTTGCGAACATTTAGGAAGAAGGAAAGGAAAGGAAGGAAAAGAAAGCAAGAAGAAAGGCTCAAGAGGCAGAAGTATGATAAAGACAGAATTAGTAGATGAAGGAAAAGGAGAGGAAACATTCTTTTTTTTGCGAACATATAGGAAGAAGGAAAGGAAAGGAAGGAAAAGAAAGAAAGAAGAAAGGCTAAAGAGCAGAGTAAGATAAAGACAGAATTAGTAGAAGAAGGAGAAGAAGAGGAAACATTCCTTTTTTCGACTTAGAAGGAAAGGAAGAAAAAGAAAGCAAGAAGAAAGGCTAAAGAGCAGAGTAAGATAAAGACAGAATTAGTAGAAGAAGGAAAAGATGAGAAAACACTCCTTTTTTCGACTTATTTTTAATGATCTAACCCCTTGCGAATATTTAGGGAGAAGGAAAGGAAAGGAAGGAAAAGAAAGAAAGAAGAAAGGCTAAAGAGTAGAGTAAGATAAGACAGAATTTAGTAGAAGAAGAAGGAGAAGAAGAGGAAACATTCCTTTTTTCGACTTTAGAAGGAAAGAAAGAAAAAGAAAGAAAGAAGAATGGCTAAAGAGCGGAGTAAGATAAAGACAGAATTAGTAGAAGAAGGAGAAGAAGAGGAAACACCTGCCTCTGCCTCGAACAGGTCCGACGCGCCCCCTCCCGCGGCGTCTATAAAACTGAGTTCCCATCTTGAAGCCGCATTCTTCACTCTGATTTGCATAGAGCCCCGAGACGAGCCGACCAATCAGCGTCGAGCCCCGAGCCTCGAAACCCCCTTAGGCCCCGCCCCCTTATTGTGTGACGCATATTCGGTGCATCATTCAAATTTTTTTTTTCCAACCGTCTCCCCCTCCTCCCCCCCTCTCCCGCCGCCGCCGTCTTCCCCTCTCGCCTTTAAAGCGGTCGACGAGGGAGATAACTGGTCGAGAGGCGGGGAAGGCTCCTCCCCTTTCGTCTCCCCTCGCGCGGTATGCAGATGGAGTCGCGTTGAAGGGAGGGGAGCGAGAGGGTGGGGCGAGGCTTGTTAAATTAAATAGACGAGAATGAGGGAGAGTGAGGGGAGAGGGAGGGAGGGAGAGGGAGGGGAGGAGGGAGGAGGGAGCTCCAGGGGGACGGTAAGTGAGGGGAGGAGGAGAGAGGGAGGAGGTGGAGGAGGAGGAGGAGGGAGTAGTTAGAAAAGGAGGAAAGGGAATAAAATGAAGGAGAAACGGGGAGAAGAGACGAGAGAAGGAGGAAGAAGATGAGAAGCAAGTAGGGAGAAGTTTACCTCCCCTCTTCCCCTCCTCCTCCTTCCTCCCACCAACCACACCCCGAGACCCCTCAGGAACCCCTTCCCCAGGCCTTACCTCTCTCATGAAACCCCTCCTCCGTTCCCCTCACTGAACCCGCTTCCCCTTTCCCCCTCACCCTTTTCCCCCCTTTTCCCCTCACAAAACCCCTTTCCTGACCCCTTTTTTTTCCCCCCCCTCACAAACCCCTCTTTGACCTTTCCCTCACAAAACCCTCCACCTGCCTTTTTCCCCTCACAAAAACCCTCATCCTGACCATTTTCCCCTCACAAAACCCTGACAAAACCCTTCCCCTGACCATTTCCCTTCACAAAACCTCCCTAATCCTTTTTTCCTTACTAAAGCCCTTATTCCCCTTACCCAAAAACCCCGTCCTAGACCTTTTCCCCTCTCTCAACCTAGCAGAACCTTATTTCCCCTCACCAAACCCCCTTTCCCAACTCTTCTTCCCTTTCACTTCCACTATGTCTTTTTCCCCGTCTCACAAACCTTCCTACCCCCTTCCCCCCTCTCCCTCTTGCCCCCTCTTTCCCCCTTCCCCTCTTCCCCCTTCCCTTCATCCCGTTAACTTCCCCCCTTTCCCCCCTCCCCTTCCCCTCTCATCCGTTAATTTCCCCCCTTCCCCCTTCCCCTCAACCTTTCCCTTCCCTCATCCCCCCTTCCTCATCCCGTAACTTACCCCCTTCCCCTCTCCTTTTCCCCTTCCCTTATCCCGTTACTTTCCCCCCCTTCCTTCATCATCCCCCCCTTCCCCTCTCCCTCATCCCCTTCCCCCCTCTCCCCCTTCCCCTATCCCGTTAACTTCCCCCCCTTCCCCCTTTCCCCTCATCCCGTTAACTTCCCCTGCGTGGTCGATTGGCTCAGCAGAGAGAGGGGTTCAGTTCGAGGCGGAGAGAAGGATGTGTGGGTTCATCTTTCCTTGAATATTTTCCTTTTTTCTCCTTCTTCTCTTCGTCTCTTTCTCTTCTGTTCTTCACTTCCTCTTTTTCTTCTCTTCGGCTTTTTCTCTTCTGTTCCTCGCCTTCTCTTTCTCTTGTCTTCGGCTTTTTCTCTTCTGTTCTTCACATTCCCTTTCTCTTCTCTTCGTCTTTTTCTCTTCTGTTCTTCACCTCCCCTTTCTCTTCTCTTCGGTTTTTTCTCTTCTGTTTTTTCACCTCCCCTTTCTCTTCTCTTCGCTTTTTTTCTCTTTCTGTTCTTCACCTTCCCCTTTCTCTCTTCTCTTCTCTTTTTCCCTCACCTCCCCTTTCTCTTCTCTTCGGCTTTTTTCTCTTCTGTCTCACCTCCCTTTTCTCTTGTTCTTCGGCTTTTTCTCTCTGTTCCGCTCACCTCCCCTTTCTCTTGTCTTCGGCTTTTTCTCTTCTGATCCTCACCTCCCCTTTCTCTTTTTCGGCTTTTTCTCTTCTGTTCTTCACCTCCCCTTTCTCTGTCTTCGGCTTTTCTCTTTCTTTCACCTCCCCTTTCTCTTCTCTTCGTCTTTTTCTCTTCTGTTCTTCACATTCCCTTTCTCTTCTTCCGTTCTTTCTTTCTGTTCTCACATTGTCTTCGGCTTTTTCTCTTCTGTTCTCACCTCCCCTTTTCTTCTCTTCGTCTCTTTTCTCTTCTGTTCTTCACATTCCTTTCTCTTCCTCTTCGACTAGAGAGAGAGAGAGAGAGAGAAAGAGAGAGATGAGAGAGAGAGAGAGAAGAGAGAGAGAGAGAGGAGAGAGAGAAAGAGAGAGAGAGAAAGAGGAGACAGGAGAGAAAGAGAGAAAGAAGAGGAGAGAGAGAGAGAGAGAGACGAGAGAAGAGAGAGAGAGAGAAGAAAGAGATAGAGAGAGAGAGAAAAAGAGGCGGAGAACGGAAGAGACGAGAGAAAAGAGAGAAAGAGAGAGGAAAGAAATGTAAAGGCGGCCAAAGGACGGAAAGCGTGAGCCTGAGCGAGGGCCGGATAGAATGATTTTTTAAAGCCGAAAGTCCGTTCAGAACCGAGGCAAGGAAGTCGATCAAAGGGGGGGCGGGGGAGCGGGGGGTCGACGGGGGGGGGGGATATTCAAATAAGGCGCGCGCCGTGACGTGGCGGCCGCTGATTGGCTGGCTGGAGCTGGTCATAAAGGATTCATGAGCGGTTGCTTCGTATTCCTCGCAGCGGCGCCATCAGCCTCCCTCGCGCGTCCGATTCCCCGCGCGCGGCCCGACTTGACCGCGACTTCGGAACCCCCACACCTCTCCGCCCCCCCCAAACCCTCCTCTCACGCCCCCCACCGCCCCCCCCGCCCCCGATCCTTCACCGGATAACCCCCCCCCCCAAAAAAAAAAAAAAAAAAAAAAAAGGCTCCATCTGCAAATCCTTAAAAACAAAAAAACGAAAAGAAAAAAAAGAAAGAGAGAAAGAGAGAAGAGAATACGTTCTTTGATGTCGAGAGTGCTTGGTAACCGTTCACAGACGGAAGATGGGAGATCAAAGCCGCGGCTGATGGTCAGGACGACGGACCGGCCACGCGCCAGCTAACACGCAAAAATTGCCCAACAACTCGAGGCCGGAGAAGAAGGGAAAAGGGGGGGGGGGGAGCGCCGACCCCCCTCGCGTCCTGCTCATTTTTCACAACTATTCCTCCATTGTCGCGAGGAGGTGGAGCGAAGGAGGGAAAAGGAGGAGGGGGAGGAGGAGGAAGAGGGGGAAGGGAGAGGGGGAGGAGGAAGAAGAGGGAGGAGGAGGAGGAAGAGGAAGAGGGGAAGAGAGGAGGAGGTGGGGGGAAAGAGGAGGAGGAGGAGGAGGAGGAAGAAGAAGGGAGGAGGTGGGGGGCGAAAGAGGAGAGGAGGAAGGAGGAGGAAGAAGAAGAGGAGAGGGGGAAGAAGAGAGAGGAGGGAGGAGGAAAGAAGAAAAGAGGAGGAAAGAGGAGGAGAGGAGGAGGAAGAAGGGGAGGAGAGGAGGAGGAGAAGGAAGAAGAAGAGGAGGTGGAAAGAAGGAAGAAGAAGAGAGAGGAAGGTAGAAGAAGAGGAGGAGGAGGAGAAGAAAGAAGAGTAGGAGGAGAGAAGAGAAGAAGAGAGATATTTTTTTCTCTTCTCTCTCTCTTCTCTCTCTTTCTTCTTTTTTGCAATTTCGTTATTATAATTGTATTTGCTTTCTACGCGTCTTCTCCCCTTCTTCTTCTGTTTTCCTTCGTTTTTTATGTTTTTTTTTAGTTCTTTTGAATCTGCACCCCCACCCCACCCCCCCCCCTGCCAGACGATCCTCAGGCCACATGAACGAGGAAGCAAAAGAAAAACGAGAAAACGGGAAAGAAAAAAAGAAAGAAAATGCAAAATAAAACGAAAAGGAAAAAAAAAAAATGTCTTTCTTATAGACTTCTCCTCTTCACTCCTCTTC